AAAAACTTAGCAATAATAATGAGCAGAATTAGGCATATTAAGTACTTTATAGAAGTACAAGAAGTACTAAATGTTTGCTAAGAAAAAAACGCCCCATAATACCCGGGCTCCGGAGACGAAAAATGGCTATAAATTAGGACAATAAACTATAATCGTTTCATAAGTTGAAAATGGAACGTAAATATATTTCTCTATATAAAAAGAACTTTCCTTTATTCAAAATATTTTATACATAAAATCATTAACGACAACTATTTGTTTAATATTGTACTCTAAACTCTGGCATACTTTCCTGCGTTTTCAGTGTTTTCGTGTGTTCATCCATCACTTGACCTTCTGTTTGACCTTTGAAAAAAAACTTTTAAAATAAGATATACATAAAGAGCATTTACCGAAGAAAATGAGTTTTTGGATATTAGTTCTTATGAAGATTGTCATGTTGATCATATTTAGAAAGGCCGCAAAACAGCAAACCAAATTGCCGAGCATAAAGTATGTCCACAAGATAACTCGGATATTGTTATTCTTAAGATTAATAAAAAAACATTTATAATAGGTAACCTCTTGACAAAGTGCTTTAATTGGATATTCAGCTGACGAATCTCTGTGTATATTACCTTTTTCCAAGGTAATTTCAAAATGAAGTAAGAGACTTTTGACAAATTTTTTAACTTGCCTGAAGATAAATTGTTCAATTTGACTGGAAATTGAAGAACTTACTTTTCTATTTATAGTGCATTATTTTCCGCCATAGTGGATTATTTCCAGGATCTGTTCTGAGCTTCGAATGCAAAAAAGGTGGCCACTTTTTGAAATAATTATTATTCTTTCGTCTTTTCCGTCTCTGAATAACGCATAAGCGGAACGTATAGTTTACATAAAGGTATATTTCTGCATGACCTACATTTAGTAAATCCTGTTTTACATTACCTTCAGGGTAGCATATATGGCACTTTGCTTACTGGCTCAAAGTTATCGGTACGATATAACAAATTTTGTCATGCAAACTCATTACTGCACTTGTGGCACAGCACTTCACAGGTTAGCTAAACATAATTTTTAAAACATAAATTTTTCCTTTTTTCCGAAAATAAATGCGATTTATTAAACCTGAACTCACTTCCATCTGAGAAATTTTGGACAAAATTTTCTGGTTCTGGAAGGGATATGTTTTATACTTTCTATTTATTTTGAAGTTCTTCCACAGCACAATGCATATCCGTCAAAAGTTTGGTTCAGTCGCACTTAATAGCATAGGGCATTCCCTCGATATGTGGCCACTCCCAATTTCGCCAAAATTAATGCGTATTTCTGTTAATAAAACTAACTCCAATGGTGATTTTCCTTACTAAAAGTCTTTCGCAGGATTAAATCTACTCAGTGAATCAAAATAGCCTGGCCAAATATATGTTAAACTACCAAGTCAAATTTCTTCATGAAAGATGCCTGCAGGACTCGCCATACTGTAGGTCACCTGTACTTAACTATGCACCACGATGGAGCGATGTGACTAAATGTCACGCTTGGAATCTCCAGATTTTTCTGTGTTTTTAGGGAATACCAGTTTGGCTATAGCTAAGTGGCTTCTTTGCAGACTTTTCTCCTAGTTTATCACAAAAAGCTGCATCTTTGCATTTTTGAAGCACCAAAAGCTCTCAACACCACGCGTAACGTCCCAGTTGGCCTCTCCTGGCGTACGCAAAAGCTTAAAGCGGACTTTGAATGCGCTGGGACTGTTGCTATCAATTTGCTTGAAAAAATTTTTGCGTGTGTTTCTTGAAAAAAACATACCAAATACTCAACTAAAGGGTTTGTGGACGTATAACTCGACCGCATATGAAGTGTACCATAAAAATATAGTCGCAATATTTAAAAAGATTTCGGTGAGAAAAAAAATACACGAAGTGCACCAACTTACGCATATAAATGAAAGTTATTTGAATCAGGTGTTAAAAATGTGGCGTTCTTGATTTGATTCGAATTCACGCCAGCAGGGGGAAAGCTTGGATACAACCAGTACCCCAATTTATTGAACTACAAGGTCCCAACAGGAACCGTAAGTTAAAGTAAGTCAAATTAATAAGTAAATCACCCAAGCTAACTGTGTTTGAACAGTTAAAACATGAATATATGTGCCTCGCCGATCTAGTAGATGAACAATTAAGTCTCGCTTTGCCCAGGAGCTCACAACGCGAACCCGCAAACCCACCAGACCGTCAAATAGTGACTATGATGAAATGTATCCCACAAAGCCAGTCAAAGCATGCTTGCATCATTCAATACTTACATTACAGTGCCACTGGTGGAGTATATAAGGTAAATCGACTTAAATGAAATGATTCGCAGCAAAAAATTAAGGCATTTATTATACAGTTCCCGTGGGAACGAGAAGAGAACAGGTTTGGATTATTCTATAAACCTCCTTTTTAATGGAGAAAGAGAAAGTGTAATAGATGTTTTATTGTATCTGCTCTGCGCTGATAAATTGGTATGATTCTTTTAAAGCTAAACTGCAAGTTTTATGGAATTGTCTCCTTGGGTAAATTAGAACATGACATATACAGCTTGGTTTCTTAGCACGTACAACTGCCTTAGATCTTCTCCTGGAACCTTCAGAGCATGTAGTACAAGTATGCAGCAGTTAAAACAATCAAAGAAAATCGATAAAAAGCCAGAGGCTTCATAGGCCACAACGCACAGCCACCCAGTTAAAAACGCGATAAAAATATAAGATAACAAGCATACGAGTAATAAAACCCCTGATTCTACCAGTTAAAATGATCATTTTTTCACTCTGTTGCAGGCTCCCCAATTAACGCCACACAGGATCAATTCTGCATTAACAAAACTTTGAATAGCCCACTATGAGTCCATTTTCAGTTATCAACACGGTCTTGTGTGTCAAGGGGGGAGAGAACTTTGTTGACGGGTTTTAAAGGACGGCTCTGCACGTACTTAGCCAAGCGTACTACCAGCTGACTTTACGTCCGTATATTATACTCACACCCACGAGTATTGCCAATTCATGATCACAATTAGAGGTGTCGTTCATAGGCGAAACATGCTTCGTTGTTTTACTTGAAAAGGTTTTTGAACGGCTGATGTACATTGAAAGTCCATTCAAGGTTGCGCCATAACCGCCGTATAGGCTTACTTGAAATTCCGTACCGCCCAGAAACTCTGCTGTACATGTCAGTTTGGAATTGCGATGGTCCGGGCATAGCATTCTTACTAGTCCGACATGTGTTCAACCTAGCTTCCCCAAATGTTGTTGTTGATGATTTTGTTAAAACCGCAGCAGTGGGTGGAATTTCGGCTTCCCTAATGTTTCTTTTTGATTGCTGCTTACTTTAGGGACAGAATGGTCCCGAAGAAAGCTTTGGTCCTTTTTGATACTTTCGAGTTTATAGGGAAAGCTTATTTATCGGTTTAATTAAATGGCAAGAATTTGCTTTACTTGTCATTAACCGAACTCCCTTTCATTTTCTCGGCGCCACTCACGAACTGTTTATAAATCTACCTTCGCGTTTGGTTTGTTGACGCGTTTCTGTAACTGCGTTTGAAAGTCGCCGCAACTTGTTTTGTTAAGGAAACAGGACTTAAACACTGTTTAGACTGCGCAGGGGGTGCTTTTCATTTTTTTTCGA